ACTTAATGTTTTGAAAATATTTTAATGCATTTATTAATTTTTTTCTATGTTGTTCCTTTATTGTTGGATTAGGTTAGATTGTCATAATTGAAGCCATGAATACCATAATTGACCAGATTCAAGCATCCAATACTTTCGTTTATTTACATAGAATATATCCAAAGTGCTGTTTATTGCTCTGCATTTATCCCATCCAAAGTTCACACACACAGCATTGAACACACACACCCGGAGCAGTGGGCAGCCATTTATGCTGCGGCGCCCAGGGAGCATTTGGGGGTTTGGTGCCTTGCTCAAGGGTTTCACCTCAGTCGTGGTATTGAAGGTGGGAGAGAGCTCTGTACATTCACTCCCCCCACCTACAATCCCTGCCGGTACGAGACTCGAACCCACAACCTTTGGGTTACGAGTCCGACTCGCTAACCATTAGACCACGTAAAAACAACAAGACGAGACTTTCTTATAGTTATACACTCACTTATTTGAAAGTGATATATTCAGTATTAAATATATCACTCGTAAGTGAGTGAGTGACTCTTGAGTGAGTGTATTAACTATAAGAGGCAAAGAACCAGAGTGCCGTACCTTTATGAGCATGATATCTGCATTATTGCTGCTCCTGTTGTACTGAGGGTGCGGGACAAGCGACAGAGGCTTGGAGTACTGCTCTGTCCCCTCATAAGCACCTAAAGTATAGTCTCCAGCCACCACCATCATCTGATCCATCCTTAAAGACAAGTAAAAATACAGTCAAGACTCTCTGAAAAAAACATGAAACGATTGTCTAGCGCCACCATACTAAAGCACTCCAATACAATGCGAATAAATAAAGAGTTGTCCAGATCCTAGTTATAAGCTTGATATCTGATTTCTTGACATCACTTGTTATACACAGTGACTCTTTGTAGAGGACATGAATTGAATGACAGTATTTTTCGCTGTTAGCAGCCTCAGCTGTGCCAAGCAGCAGATAAGCCAGCATTCATTAAGTCCCACACGGTGATGACGGGTCAAGGTTAACGCGCGTCCTGACTGCCTGTCTGCTTTACTCTGGCGTTCGACTCACCCACGGACTTGGCCATCAAGCTTCCTGCCATACTGTGTATCATGTAATTCTCATAAACAGCCTGTTAGGTAGAGAATTTATTTAAAGAAAAGGTGAAAAATCACACACCCAATATTGCAATGGGCGGCTGTAAGCACCCAGTATTTGTGGACCAGAGATCCGCCACAGAAGTGCTGGCCCTTTGAGCTCTGTAACGACACGATGTATTTGATTGAATTTGGCGAGGGGGTATATCCGCCAACAATGCGCCCCTGAACAAAGTCCAGACCTGGAAAACATTATAACAAACATTTAAAACAGCTCAGAACTCAAGCTGACAGTGAAAGGACAATGAAGATTATACTCTAATCTCATTTACATTGAATTCGAATTGACAGCTGACAAAATCAAGCTTGACACCCTGTGCATCCCTGTTAAATAATAGTTACTTTTCATTCCAAGGCAGGATATATGACCTGATTTTCTATAAAGCCTTCTTATTGGTTACAAAGTAGTCTGATAATGAGAGTATGCAACAGTGGTTTATGATATTTGATTGTTTCATTCAAACAGTAATTGATTAGGTGCGTAATTGCATATGCAAATTGGTCACTGACAAATAGGAATGTTCACAATGCTCATAAAGGAAGACAAATATTTTAACAATCTAGTTGTGCCCAGTTTGGATTCATATTGGTTTCATATGGTTTGAAAAACTTTTATATAATTTTCAAAACAGTTTAAAGCGGTCATATGATGCGATTTCAATTTTTCCTTTCTCTTTGGAGTGTTACAAGCTCTTGGTGCATAAAGAAGATCTGTAAAGTTGCAAAGACTAAAGTCTCAAATCCAAAGAGATATTTTTTATAAAAGTTAAGAGTCAGCCACGCCTACCTAAAACGGCTCATTCTAACACACCCCCCCATACCTACCTCACTATGTGGGAAGATTTGCATAACGCCGCCCAAATGTTCACGCAAAGAAAGAAGGCGTAACTTTGATTCTCGCTGTAGTATTGTTGCTGCCATGTTGTGGAGACGCTGTGTGTTTCGTTGTGAAAGCGAAATACTTTGTATGGTCTTCCAAATAAGGACACAACTAGAAATCAGTGGTTAAGGTGTATTTACAACACTGTTCCGGAACAGTTCAAGCCAAATATTCAGATGTGTGCAGCACATTTTATGGAGGACGAGGACTGTTTCCTGGAAGAGTAGCCTACAATGCCGGTGTCTGTTTCTATAAAGTGGAGCAATTCCAACTTTGCAAGGATAGTCTGGTGCTTCTGACTCACAGCCTGTAAGTACGTTTTCATATTTAAAGAATTTACCACTGACGATTAAAACGCAAGTTTTGAGCAGTGTAGAATAGAGCTTGTTGTTTGTCATTTCTCCGATCACAAATGCAGACAGAGTTTTATGTTTACGCGGCGCGATGCAACTCGTAAAAAGACAGTATAAGTCATTATAATTCAACAAACACCAAGAAACGGCACCCATGCAGTGCTGTTTGTTAGCATTCATAGCTTTTGTTGGGATATACATACTGTACAGAATTCCCTCCCCTTTCCTCAAAGCCTGATCAAAAACACGTTATGGTGATATTTTGGTCTAGCAAATCAAAAGAGCTTTTCTTAATAAGCTGCTTAACGAGTGCTATGGTAAGCACGTCGCATGTCCATTACTACCTTGGCTAACAATTACACCTGCTTAGTAATGCCTAGCATCTATAGGGGCTGGACAAAATTATGTGAACACTTGGGAAATAGGCAATGTTTCTTTAATAAGGTGTTTTACCACCATTTCCCTTTAATGCAGCTTCCAACCGGGAGGCCTTTGATAGAGAGTCATACTTTTGAAGAGTCTCCAGTTGAATGTCAGAACATCAGAACACCTGCCAGTTACTTCAGGGATGCTGAAGGAGGTCATCTGCTTTTTACTCTTCTCTCCAAATCTGCCCAGAGTGGATTGACAATATTCAAGTCAAGGGATTGTTCTGGCCAGCGCAGATTTTGAAATGTTTCAACTGTCCAGGTTTCACGACCATAATTTCAGCATTTTAGCATTGGAGTCTGTGATTAAGGTTTGAGCAATTGCAGTTCTTTCACAGATGCTGGCTTTGTGAAGTTCTCTGTGGTCATTTATTTTTGCCTTCAGAGTGAATATTGAGGTTTGCTGTCACTTTGCTGTGTTGTTTGGACACAATCCTTCTCAGTGTTTGATTATCCCTATCATTCACTTTCAGTTTTCAATCACATTTCCTCTTCTCTGATGAAGTCTTGCCTTGCTTTGCGTACACAGCCATAATCGTAAAGACTGTTGTTCTTAAAATACCAAACAATGGAACTGTTAAAGTCCCAGATGCTAAATGGGCTTCCATGATTTGTCTTTTTTTGGCAGTCTGACAAGTCATCCATTTCACACGCGGCTTGTGCTAACCTCAACTTATACTACACTGATATACAACCTTAACCCCTATAATAGCAGGTCTTCACATTATTTTGTCCAACCCCTGTATTTGTCTGGTTGCTTTAGCTGGTTAAGTTTTATCCTGATGTGAAAATTCATCAAAATTCATTCATTCATGATTTCTGTTCCAGTCTACAGGTGTGGTTACATTTACCGTTGTTCTGTAATTTTCCAGTCATTTTAATAGGAATCCATATGTGACCCTGGACCACAAAACCTGTCAAAAGGTGCAATTTTTCGAAATTGAGATGTATACATCATATGAAAGGAGAGGACCATATTTGGTTGAGATACAACTATTTGAAAATCTGGAATCTGAGTGTGCAAAAAATCTAAATATTGAGAAAATCGCCTTTAAAATTGTTCAAATTAAGTTCTCAGCAATGCATATTACTAATAAAAAATTAAGTTTTGATATATTTACAGTAGGAAATTTACAGTGATTAACATGATCTTTACTTAATGTCCTAATGATTTTTGCCATAAAAGAAAAATCAATAATTTTGACCCATACAGTGTATTTTTGGCTATTGCTACAAATATACCCCAGCGACTTAAGACTGCTTTTGTGCTCCAGAGTCACATATGATCTTTGAACTTTGCATGAGGGCGAAATATTTCTCTAAGCAGATTTCGCATCGGGTTCAAGTTGGTCACACATTTTCACCGTTCTGACCAACAGAAAGCTGCTTGGGTTGAAAGTGACTCTGCGAGACAATAGACCTTTTTTTGTCTGCAAACTGCACCTTAAATGTAAAGCATCATCTCGTCTGTTAGCGACTTGCAAACATTTTCTCCATTCGATTTTATTTAGGATGCAGTACCACACATTTGACAAGAGCATTTTGTTTCAGAAATACACACCTTGTTTCTGTAACTGCCTACGTCAAGGGAAAGCGAACCACAATAACATGCTCTGGCTAGGCTCCCTGAACAGATTATGAGTTACATACCATAAAGGCAATGCAGAACCAATAATAAGAATTTCAGATTTTCAAACAATGAGAGGAGAGCAATTGACATCTCATGAGGCACTATGAGAATACAGATTCATTACATCCCAGGTGGGACTTCAGATAAATGGCAAACTCATCCTTCTAGGTGGAGCGCTCCCCTGAGGATAAAGACGTGCATTTATACAGTCAAGGGATCTTGTTCGCAGCTGCTTTGGTTACCACCACCCTATTGCCCTTTCCACCCAATTTCACCGTCACCCGATATCCTATTCTCTGACAAACCATTTTGTCAGATGAGAGAGTCTATAGGTATTTGATTTCCCCGTAGAGAGCAGCACACTGTATGAATCAAAGGCAAGGTCTTAGACATGATAGCATCAAACAAGAGGAGGCGATCTCAGATACGGAGAGCTTTTGGGTCAGCCTAAGTCTTGGCGTGTTATTGTTTTTGTTCCTACGAATAGTTAGTGTACAAACAAGACCATTAAACATAAGGGACAGATGTGGTTACACTATAAAAGCAAAGACAATATTCACAGCTTAGGTAGTGTGGGAGGAATTAAGTGGGATTTAGCTGCTCAGGATTGAGTTTTCGATGCTCAGGGTGAGTTTTTATACTGTCCATTTATGTTTTGGATAGAAAACGTCACACATATTACGTAAATATAACGTCATATTATATTATATTAAAAATGTATTTTATGCATAAGAAGTCTCTTACGCTTTCCAAGGCTGTATTTATTTGATCAAAAATACAGTCAAAACAGTAATATTGTGAAACATTATTATAAACATTATTTAAAATAACTATTTTCTATTTGAATAGATTTTAAAATGTAATGTGTTCCTGCGATGGTGAAGCTGAATTTTCAGCATCATTTCTCCAGTCTTCAGTGTCACATGATCTTCAGAAATCATTGTTATATGCCGATTTGCTGCTCGAGAAAAACACACTGCTTCATATTTTTGTGGAAACCTTACCTTTTTTTAACATTATTTCTCAGGGTTCTGTGATTAATCAAATGTTTAAGAGAAAAGCATGCATTTGAGAAAAAAAACAAAAAACAAAAAAACATATATATTAGTGCTGTCAAACGATTAATCGCGATTAATCGAATCCAGAATAAAAGTTTTGTTTACATAAAATGTGTTTTGTGCATATTATGTATATATAAATACACACACATACAGTATATATTCTGAAAATATTTACATGTATTTACATGTCTATATTTATATTCCTATAATTTATATTATAAATAAATATATTTAATATATAGACATAACATATTTTTCTGAAATATATACATGCATGTGTATTTATATATACATAATAAATATACACAGTACACATACATATATTATGCAAACAAAACCTTTTATTCTGGATGCGATTAATCGCGATTAATCGTATGACAGCACTATATATATATATATAGTTACAATGTAAAAAAAACTTTACTGCCTCTTCTGATCAATTTAATACTTCCTTGCTGAATAAAAGTAGTGTATGCCATACACATAATGTCATATTAACAATTATAGACATTTTGAAATGACAGTGATTGATGACAATGCCTATTCTTTGAATTTGTTTTTCTTTGAAAGAGAGTTTTATTACATTGATTAATTATTAAAACACAGCTAAAGCAGCTAAATCACAGTTGAAACCATCTAAACGAAACCTTTTTGGTTTTAGCTTTGAACTTTTATTCCAGCAGAGTAACCTGTTGTTGGAAACTCGCCCGTGACATTAATTTAGTTTGACCGTGTATTATGTAAAATGTGATGGCTTTTCTTTTACCACAGCTGTTTGTATTTGTTTTTCCTCTGACCTCTAAACGTCCTCCGTGTTTTAGACCCCTCCAACATGAAGAAATGCCTTGAATACGCCTTGCTCCTCATCATCTCTACGCTTCACGGTAAAGCACAGCATTAAAGCCTTTGGTGGGCACACGTTTTATGTTTATCTAGCACATACGAGGCCTCGCTTTATCATTATTCTCTTCATTTACAGGCTCGCTGCAGCAGAGAATCATCGGAGGACAGGAGGTTGAGCCCTATTCCATAAAGTACCAGGCCTCTATCCAGTACAACAACTACCATTACTGCGGAGGAACACTCATACACCGACAGTGGGTGGTTACTGCTGCCCACTGCTGGAGACCGTGAGTGTTTTATTGACAAGGAACTGAACACACTAAGCATGCTACAGTATTTGAGGTAGGCCAAATCCTTACACTGACTGTACTGATGTGGTAATGTTGGGTTCTGCTGTCTACTCTGTTCACAGGAGCTATTTAATCAAAGTGGTTTTGAGTGAACACAACCTCTCCAGTAAAGAGGGTGTTGAGCAGGTGTTCAATGTGTCCAGAGTTCTGGTGTATTACATGTACAGTTACAGGACATTTGATAGTGACATTATGCTCTTGAAAGTAAGTTCATCAAGCATGAAATATATAAATATTGCACACATGTTAATAAGTAGGCCTATATGCTTGTTTATCCTAGTATCCTAGTTAGGAAGCAACAAACATACATGGTAACAGCAAGTATGTTTTATATATATATATATATATATATATATATATATATATATATACACACACACA